AATTTGGCGTTTCCCTACTGTGTACTGAGACATTGCCTGCGCAGGAGAATCAGCCAGGAGGGAAGGGCCGGGCCCAGCAACAACCAGGCCCCCATCCGACATGGACAAGGAAATCGCGGCAATTAATGAGTCCGAACGCGAAGTGTCAAGCCATCACCGCACCGAGAAAGACCCAAGCGGTGGCTACAGAAGTGGATAATTACAGTACGCACGCGAATGACGGCTACAATCTATAAATACAGTGCAATCTGTGCATGTTTCAGCCCTATCTGCGCATGACTCAGAATATTGTACCATAACCAATGATTAAGGATACCCAACGGAATCCAAAACGTCAGGACAATAAAACTTTTGTTCCAGTGGTCGCATCTCATTCTTCTGAACTGCTTCTTGGAACTCGTATACTCACTTCTATTGAGAATCCGAAAGACTGGGATGAGGCGTAGGTAGCTGGCACGGGGAAATCTGAATCTGAAAAGGTGCCACAACGTTCATTACTTTAAACTGATGCCTGCGCGCACTTTGCTGTGGGACACACGGTAGACAGTCGAATGGTTGCATCTGTGCCGTTATACGGGGTTCATTCAAACGTGAAACATGAATAGGGTGCCGTAATCGCATGCTACTTCCGTTCACACGGTACCGCAATCTGAGCAAAGATGCTGCAAATTTATCTCCCACACTGCAGGTTGTCGTTTCAGGGCGCCCACTTTGTGGAAGCCGCTTATGGGCCTAGCTTTTCCCACGCCATCTTATCCTCCCACGCAAAGAGCCGATGCTGGCACTCTTTTGATTCGACGTCTACATCGCCCAGCGCGCCGCACACACTAAATGACACACAGCCGACAGTAAAGCTGCACATTTCGGCCAAACCACCATGACGACGAACACGACGACGAAGAAAATGCCTTGATTGGACACCACCCAGGCTCTGAAAGAGGAGGCGGAGGAATGCGGTCATCTGGCCCCAGGGCGTCAGACGTATACGCCTCGGTGCAACAGACACACAGAGACGTCTGATGAGTCATGTCAAAAGTACATGGCGGGTTTGTGTTGTGCTGTGCTGGCGCCCTCTCCCCCCTGTGTATCTTAGTCAACACTTCGCACTTCCGTCTTTCATTGCTGCGACAGTAGCAGTTATGAAGGATCTCTTTGATGTGGAAAGCCACCTGCTTCGTGTATACCCATTTTCTTATATGAATAGATACATATACGGTAAAAGAAGTTCTTTGGGAAAGAGTACTTTAATGTGTGAATTTTCGACT